TTGCAGGATAGGAATACCCCCATGTCTGTTCCATGGGGGGATCAGGGAGGGCAGAGGGCTGAAGCAGGAGTCCTGATACACAGAAATTCAGCTTAAGTTGGAGTATGGGGATGGGGGCGTTGACTGGCATTGCCCTAGCATAGCAGGTACAGCAGATCATACTACTGTACCCTATCAGTTCCATGTTGGCCACCCTGTGCAACAAGTGTCATGCTCTGGGGTGGGCAGGCAGGTGAGCAAACATGGGACTATAGGGCAATGCTTTTCCAACCAGATCCTCCCCTCATCCCTTTCATGTTTCCAGAGCTGGCAGGAGGGGCTACATGATCTGATCACTGGTGTATAAGTCCCTGGAAGAGTAGCTATGGCAGTCAGGGCCACACTCACCTCCTCAGGTACACACCAGGGGTTAGGAGGAAGCAGACAATGGAAAGAGTTAGGCCTGGTGGGGTCCTGCCCCTGCCGCCCTCACCTGGCACCAGCCTCTATATCTGTAGTGGTCACTGCCACAACCTTCCACCTCCTGCAGGGACAGCTCTTTCCTTTATGGGCCTAACGGCCCTCCTCCAAACTCCTCAACTTGCCCCAATGAGCAGCTCCTTACTGCACCCAGGACCATCCCACTGTTCCCTGCCTACCAGCCCTGGATTTAATGACTAGCTCCTACTAACCCCCAGTGACCTTTTAAGTATTCCCTGGCCCAGGAGCCCCTGCCCTAAAAGTAGTTGCCTCCTTCCTTTCTTCTTGGTGCTGTACAAGCCAAAGAACCATTAAACACTTGAGCCCAGGGTGCCAACCTGGCAGCTGACTGTCACCAGTCATCTGCTCGTTCCCCCTTAGTACACTAAACTGCCACTTCTTATCCACCTTTCCTCAACTGGATACCCATTAGCTATTTAGCTACCTTTTCTACTTAAATATACTCCACTCAAACCCCAAGGCTAACCTCCACCTCTGTCTTCTCAACTAGCCTCTCCAGGTAATGAGGACTTACACCTGAGACCTTCTCTCAGACACTTCATTTGTTGCCTATTGCAGAGATACATTCTGGAAACTTTATTTTATACAAATTAAAGTTAAAGAAAAGCTGTAGGGGCTGTTGTTTCTCCATACCTTTTCCTGGCTTTTGTAAGATGCTTAGGGCTAGCTTTCCCAGGGATCAGCCCATGTCAATAGCTCTTTTGAAAGTCTGGCCACCTATATTATTGACTGATTCTCAACCAGGGTGCCATGAAATCCTTCTAAGGATGCCACAGCATTTGAGAAAATAAACAATGTAATAAATGAATTGGTTTTTGAAATGAGGTGATGCTAAATTCAGAAAAGTTATGGAGGGGTTTCTTGAGTCTAAAGAGGCTAAGAACCTCTGATGTAGACAAAGATATCTCTTTCTCTCTTTCTCTCTCTTTGGTTGCAATATTTATGGCAGCAAGCTAGCAGATATCCTTGGCTTTGTCATGCTCCAAGTACTCAAAAATGTTTACATGACATTTTCTGGTGCCCGAGGATATCTTTTTGCTTATGGTGTGGTCCACACAGGCTGGGGCTGTGCTCTCTAGCCACCTCAGGCAGGCAATTTTAGGACTCAGGTTTCATACTGCAGAGCAAGAGCACCTCATGGAGTTCCCCAGGTCAGGGCCAGGCATACGGAGCTGTTGTCTTCCAGGATCAGGCCCCCGAAGCTACAGTAGTGGCAGGAGCCTGATCCTGCAGGATAGCAGCCCTTTGTGGCTTTTGTCCCTGCCAATGAAGTGGGTCATCTGTGCTGGAACACATCCCAGCACAGTTGATCCTGGAACCAAAAATGATGTCTGTTTGTAGCCTGAATGAAATGCACATTTGTGCAAGGAACAGCATAAACATCTAAGCACCATTCTTGACCTCAAAGGAAGTTGATGTGAGATTTGAATGATATATTGGTATTGTGTTGGTCCATCTTCCAAGATAAATCCAATACCTAGGTCTGCCTAAGAACTGAGAGTCATTCTTTTTCTCTTTCTTTTATTGCTGCAATTCTCCATCCTGATACCTCTTTTTTTCTCTAGGTTTTTCTGACAGAATACACTGGGCCTCTTCTAATCTACTTGCTGTTTTACATTCGTCTCGCAAGTATATACAATGAACAGGAGAGTACTAAGAACTTTCGCCATCCAGTAGTTCAGTAAGTGAGACTCATGTGCATGAACTAAATCAAGCAGGATGGTAAGCCACTAAGCAATCCAGCTGAATTGATGATGAGACATGGTTTTATTTGATCCAAGGTAAGAGAGTTTTGTCACATGCACATGAGTGCACAAATGCATTTTGTGGTGCCTAAAAGGCTTTCTGTGCCACAAAATGCACCCTGTGCATGTGATTTGGTTCTCTGTACTGCATATTTGCAGCTTGGAGCCAAATTTAGATACAAGAAAATCTCAGTATCAAAAAAAATGTGCTGAAAAAGGTGGGGCAGTGGACATGGCAATAGTATGTACTGCTTGAAACCGGAGCCTGGCTGGCCCAAAGCATTCTCAGGCTACCGGTCAGGCTCTGCATGCCTGGACCGCTGCTGTTGGAGCCCTGGGAGTCCTCCAGGACTCCAAGTAAGGTTTCTGGGGCTAGCCCAGGTGCTAGCCACAGCCTTCCTACCACCTGGAGCATTTTTCCCCATGGCAACCCCACATGCAGGGGCAGGAACCATGTGTTATTTTCAAAAGACCAAGGAGTTAAACTTATAGAACAATAGAACTTATTTATTCAGAAAGCCTTCTTAGACTACTCCTCTGCTGTTCCTTGCAGTTCCCTCCTGCTGTTGCCAGGCCAATATAACAACTTATACATAACACTCTTAAAAGTATCCACACACATTGGGGCAAAAAACCAGCAGCACGAATTTTGCTGCTGGTTTTTTCCCTGCAGCAATTGCATGGCCCCGCTCATGGGGATGCAGCCTTTGATGCTAGAATCCTTCCATACCCAAAGATCTCTGGATTCAATGAGAATTTCAGGGTATTATTTTTTTAATGATTTCTATTATGGTGGTACCCAGAGACCACATCTATCATTAGAGTTCTAGTGCACTAGGCACTGGCATAGACCTAATGGGAGGCACTCCATATCTTGAATTATTTAAAACCTGAATATACAAGCTGGCTAGAAGAGAAGAGACAGAAGCAAACTAGAAATGACTTGCTCCAAGTTATGCTTTATATCAGTGACAGATCAAAATGTAAACACAGAACTTGGGAACTGTTCACTAGACCAGAGTGCCTTTCAGATACTAAATTAATTCTGGATCAGGTTAATAGAAGTACAAGGACAATAGGAGATTAATGGCACTGGTCTTCAGTACAGACAGTACTAGCTTCAAATGTACTCAGAAAGAGAAGGTGTTGTCAAAGGCTGAGAAGACAAAGAAGAACTTTCAAGAACCGATGATAAATGGAGGAAGAGATTTTCAGAAACGTCTAATGGAGAAAATAGCAAAGAGTTCAGCAGTTAAGTTTCTGCTTTTAAATCTTAGAGATACATTTGAAAATTCCACTCCCTTAAAGTGAGGCTATTCACCAAAACTAAATGGGACCCACCTAAGAGTGCTGAAGGACCTTAAGAATTAAGCTACAGACCATCTAACAAATACATTAAATCACTTTTTAAAATAGAATAGGCCACTATGTCAAAAGATTATTGAGAGGCAAATGTACCTATATTAAATAAAATATCTGGAAATTACAGAAACTTAATGAAGTTTATGTCCAAACGTGATAAACTGACTGAGACAGCATGACAAATAATGAAGCTCAGAAGATTGTGATGTGAAAGAGGGCAAACAGCTTGACAAAGGAAAATTGTGCCTTAATCTATTACAATGCCAAGAATATATAAACAAAACTAGATAAAAGAGAAACTTCTGTCATAATTTATTGAGACTTCTTAAATCTTTGAAAAACTTCTTCAAAAATGCCATGAAGGACACTAAGTAGCCATGGGGTGAGAGACAGAGAGTGGCTAAGAATCAGACAGGCAGATTTTTGAGAGAGAGAGAGGGGACTGAAATTCTTAATAACTAGTCGAATTTAATTTCTTCTGAATTTACATTTGTGTTCCCCATGTTGGGCCCAGCAGGGGAGTTTATATAAACAGGAGAATAAAATGAAATATTATTACTGCCATTTCACAAATGGGGAAACTTCAGCAAAGAGAATTTGAATGCATTGGCAGAGCTGTGACTAAGACCCCAGAACAGTTCCCCAGCTCCCACTCTGCTGCCATGAGACAACCTTTCCACCCTGAGTTGTACACTTAATAGGAAATAATATTTTGAAAAGAACCAAGGAGCCAAAAATATCCCTGCATTATTTGGGGGGTGAAGTATGAGAAGTCTTCCTGATCTGTTTTAAAGGAGTTTTTTGGCATCCCTGTTAGAAACCAAAGATTTTTTTTTAATTCCTAATGAGAATGAAAGTGTTATTCAGCCTTCTGTAAAACCATTAATTAGCTGATTTTTCTGAGCTCCCAATTTCTCTGATTTAATTACTTCAAAATTGTTTAATCTTTGACTTTTATTGAGCATCTTGTATGGTAGCCAAAGTATTTGAAACTCTACACACTGAAAATCACTTTTCATTTATGTCTCATAATTGGCTTTCGATGAGATAGGCACTGCTAGTTCAGTAAATATAACCAAGATAAAATGCCACCATGAATCACACTTGACATTTGTTTTTTAAACCCAGTCTTTATGAGCTGCAGCTCATTCTATGAAGCAAATCAGGAGTACTGGTTATTGTTTCATAATCGTCTTCAAATGAGAATCAGTATAATAAATTCTACAACAATTACCTCATTCCATTGTAACTCAGAACAAAAAAGCCATCACAATGGATTAACTTTGCAACAAAATCACATTTTGACTCTGCAAGGAAATGAAATACAGACTACCTCTTTGTTGCTACTGTAGTTACTAAAGGACAAGCAAACCATTCAGAAGCTATTCAGAATGTTCTCAAATGTCAGATACATCCTATGAGAGCATTAAGAAAGCCTGAAGAGGTGGGATACATCTGTGCAAAATGTAGTAGACATTTGCCTGTACACACAGCTGTACTTTTTAAATGTACCATCAAGCTGTGTACTACACTGAGCTTGATGAATCCTTTTTAAATTCAAGGCTAATAAAAGTTATTTGCTTCCACTATAAATGGAAGTGACTTTATAAAACACTGTAAAAATATTCTATTAATCTCTGGATTTAGATGTTTCAACTAAGGCAAAGATTAAGGCCAGAGATTTCATCTTGATTCTCCAGTTCAGAAATATTGCTCCTTATTTTTTTCTGTAGCAATGAACTGTGATATATCAGAAAATATGGTTTGGAAACAAAAAGCAGACAGAAAAAACAACATTTCATATTCCTTCTTTTCTCTTTTCTCATTGTTTATTCCAGCTTGGCCTGCTTCTGTCATTGTATACACTATATCAGAAATCTTCTGGAGACGTTATTTGTTCACAAGTTTTCCGGAGGGCATACTCCTCTGAAAAATATGATTAAGGTGACAATTATATTTATCATTTTTATGTAATAGAGAGAAGTTCTTCATGTTAAAGGGACCTTGGAAGAAATAAAAAAGGAAAAAGATTTCTTTTCTAGGTCTGGTAATTATGTTCAGTTCACAATATAAATACATTTAAAGACCCAAGGCCAGCTGTTCCAATGAAGTAGACCGAGGTGCATCCAATAGCTTCCACAGAGCTGGGTCACTTTTGATTTATGCCACCTGAGGAGCTGACCTTCAGTGCCCCATAATGTTTTTCAGACTGAATGGTGTTTGTTGTTTTGCTGTTACAATGCAAGGAATAGAATACATGCATGGTACCAGTGATAAATATACCCTTGCCCTGAAATGAGACATCCTTGTCCTGAAAAGCTTAAAATCTAAATAGAAAAAAGGACTTTTATCCTCATTTTAAAACTGGCTGGAGGATGGAGGAGAGGGTGTGGGGGAGACAGAGGTGGGGAGAGAGGGATCTGCCTTATGTCACATAAAATTACATTGGTAAAACTAGAATCAAGGTCTTCTAAGTCTTAGTCAAATACCCTGAGTGTGTATCCTTCAAATCCACATGCTCCATTATTAACCAATTTCTATCCACATGGAACAAGAAATAAAGATCTTACATTTCAAGCCTTTCATCTAGGTTTAGGGTTTTAATGAACAAAGAATATAACTATATATAGGTGGGCCTAGTATAAAAGGGCTCATTTAACTCTCTGTTAAGCATTTTAATTTAATTCTTATTTTGGATTTAACTGAGTTTATTTTTAAGAGACTCATATTAAGTTTTTTTTTTTTTATCAATGAATTATTGAATAATAGCACTGTGGTCATCTTTTCTCAGAAATCAACTAGAAAAATGCATATGAAGTTGTAATTTGTACTGACTTTCAATTTTACTACCTAAAATGTATCCCTATCTATTCCAGGGATGTGCCTTTTACTGGGGATTCACTTCTTGGATTGCTTACTACATCAACCATCCACGATACACTCCACCAAGTATGTATAACTACAACATAAAATTGACATTGTTCTTAATTTTTTTCTTAGTTTAAATTTGCTTCCAAATCAGTTGGAGTTCAGACCTTGACTTCATTGGGCACATAATCAGATCATTAGCATGCCCAAAGATTAGGCTTACATTTACTTGTCAGGAGAAAGATTAATATAAGTGTCACAATCCATCTACATCTTCAAACATATGTCACTGTTTAATGCCATTTAATCATGACAGAGTTTTGTAAATATGAAATATTAGCCAATTGAAGGAAACAGAAAGATCAATGCATTATACTCATCTCTGCAATATGTTTCCACTAAAAATGCACAGGGGAACTAGAGCTGGCTGATTTTTTTGTTTTAATTACAACATTTTTCTATGATATAGAAAAAGCCTTTTTATGAAAGCTAAACTTTATGTGAAACTGATAACACTTGGTAAGGTATTTTCAACAAAAATGTAGAAATAAAGCAAATGGACATTTTTTCTTCTCTTTTGCCCATTCAGCCTTCAATCATGATTGTGTTTTTTCTTTTTGTGCAACATGGTTACAAAAGTATTCTTTATTTGTAAGTTGTTGTTTTTTTTAACTTTTCAGTCACTGGACACTTTATTTTTGCTAAATTCTTTATTTAATTTTGCTGTATATTTCTTTCCCCATTGCATTTTGCTAGCACACTATCATTGCATTTGCCATTTCTTCTCTTTGTTAATCCTTTCCTTTGAGTTTTGGGAGGATCCAGGAATTGTGCTGCCAGTCATGATAACTAAGTGGATTTTTTGGTAGAATAAAGTTTCCCAAAATGCACCTTTTACTTAAAAAATTAATTTTGATTAACATTGTTTTGTTTCTCAAAATATCACTTTAAATTGGTATGCAAACTGTCAGCAATGATTTAAATTGCTTTATGAGACCCATGTTCAGCCCTTAGAAGTCTGAGTCATTAAGTCAGTAGGTCCTGAATACACTGTCTATTTGCTGGGGTGCTCTTCCCACCAAATGGAACGTGATCATCAAATTCTGAGGCCAGAAATCTTGAAAATCCATAAAAGGCCTGAGAAATGAGGCTTGTAGGATTTCAGGGGCACAGCTTTGACAAGGAAGACAGGTAACTGGAAAAATTGCATGCAGAAATAAACCCATTGAACAGAGTTGGCAAGGGCATTTGGTTAACAACCACAGGGTATGCCTACACGTGCTATTAATTCTTAGTAGGTTTACTGTGCAGTAAAAATACTGCTCAGTAGGCCTACCAGGTGAGCATGTCTACACATACTCCCTCTTGGAGCAGATTTCCTCTGCAAGAGAGCAGCCTGGAGAAGCTGCTCTGCCCTCCTGCAGCAGTCAGGGAGAGCTTCAGACTCCCTCTGGATGCTAGCCCAGGGGCTGACAGGGAGCACGGGGCCAGAGGACAGCTGTCCTGGACCCGTACACATCAAGAGGGGTTCTGATGTGCATGAGGTGGAAGAGCTTCTGCTGCAGAGGTATCCCACCCTGTGCACATGGGGAAAAGCCTTGTGCCCAGCAGGGCTTCCCCACAGAGCCTGGGGCTGTGTGCAACCTGTCCTGTTCTGGGACAGGTCCCAGCCAGCTCCTGGGTGGGCAGGGAACTCTTCTTGTGCAGGCAGATCCTGTCCCTGGCTCTGTGATTGGAGCGGTGGAGCGGGGGCTGAGAGATTGCTTCCTGCCCCAGGAAGCTGCCTGCTGCTGGGGCGGGCTCTGAACTTGGAGCCCAGGCCAGGACAATGTCCCCCCTGCCCCAGTTGCAGAGCTGGGGCCAGGAGCTGCCTTCTGCTGGGGCAGGGGGATGTTGTCCCACCCCAGGCTCCCAGCTCAGAGCCTGACTCAACAGCAGCAGGTAGCTCGCAGGGGAGGGGATTGCTTTCCTGCTGCCTGCTGCCCAGGCTGACTGGGAACAGATTTTCTCCCGGTCTGTCATCTACATGTGGACTACTGCAGTCACTACTGCATGGTTAATTTGGAGATAGCAAATTTGCAGGTAGCAAATTAACTCTGCAGTTAAATAATTGACTGTCCAGTAAGTGTTTACATATGTAGACAGTGACACTCTACTGCACAGTCACTTAGTCAACTGCACAGTAAAGTGTCTTGTGTAGACGTGCCCACAGGGTCACTAATTGCAGCTATGTGGATCACCCTGGGGAGATGCTGTAGCATCCTGCTGTTCAGACAAAGGAGAAGCAAAAAGACATGGTTTTGGGAACGCAGGCAGGATAGGAAAAGAAGATGTGAAACAATGAAGGGGAAAGCTGTGGGAGTACTGGGACCCTCTTAGATGTCCATGGTACAGCAAAAGCTGTGTTAACCAGCACTTTATTAGCCGGAAAACTCTATTAACCGGGATCTGAGGAACGCTGTAAAAGCAAAACTGGAAGTACCACTTTTGGGGGACTCCCTGTTTCACCACTGTGAGCTGAGTTTTTCTTCGCCCCTTTTTTGGCCCACTGCCCAGGGCAAAGCAGCCTGCATGGGGCAAAGCAGCCTGCACAGGGTCCCCTTCCCTGTCCCCCGGCACACTGACACTGGGTAGTACACCAGACGGTGCACATTTGATTAACCAGAATATTTGATTAACCAGCATCCCCCATTCCCAGGGGATGCCGGATAACAGAGCTTTTACTGTACTATACTGTAGTGATGTCTTGGAAAAGAAGTGAAGCAGAGGGGAGGTTATTGAAATGGTCAGGCTGAGTGGCAGATAGTGGTATTCTCTGATGTTTTGGTGCTTAAAAATAGACAGGCTGTACCTCACATTCTCTGGTGGTGGAAATATTGTGACTAGTAATTAAAGCACCAATATAAGACACAGGAATCCTGACTTCTCATCCTGTTTCTGCCACAAGCCTCTTGGCTAACTTTGGCCAAATCACTTCATCTCTAGCTGTGTCCTTTTCAATAGTCTTAATTAATATCAACCTCCTTTATAATGGACTTTGATATCTACAAATGAAAACACTATATCAAAGCTAGGTAATGGTTTTATTTAACTAGCATCAAAGAGTACTGTAATTTACCAGAAAACATTTAGTAGTTGCTCTGTATACATAACATGTAGTATAGTTTTTCTTCTTCATAGTCCCTGAGGAGTATAAGTGGTTCTGACCTTCTGTACCAGGGTAAATTATGCAAATTTTTGCACAGATTAAAATTTATCTTAATTTTATTTTATTCTGTTTTCTAGCATATGGCAACAGACAAGTTATGTTTGCTGCCCTCGCTTTCCTGGTATGTATAGAAATAGGAATTAAAGATGATTGTGCTATAAAAAGGCTCATTATTTGTCAAGAAGATTACTGCTGTGCAAGTGAACCTTAGTGCTGAATCCCTGAGGCATATCATTAGTCCTATTGATGCCAATAGGTCTTTTGTCATTTCTAGGGCAGGAACTGTTCTAGTGATGTTTGCGCACAATACCTAGTTATTGATGCCCTGCATCCTATATAACATCTTTTTGCATTATTTCACCATCATCATCATCATCATTCTTATTCAGATTTCAAGAAAAAGTTTAAGGTTTAGGTAAATAAATATAATAATTCTTCAAATGCAAAGGTAAACACGTTTTGCAAGTATATCTCAAAAGGACTTTTAATCATGTTGTATACCCTAAATAGCATGTCTACTAGCACTTGGCAGCAGTTAAAAAGGAATACCCAGGTGCTGCAGTGAATGAAGAGTAGCCAAGAGTTACTTTTCAAGTTTACTCCTTTTGTTGTATGGACTGGGGTACCACCTTTCTGATACTCACAGATGCTAATTATACTTGTACCAAGTGGAGCTATCTCAGTGCAACTGCTTCAGCAAATCAGAAGAAAAGGTCAAAACTACATTTTTACTCAAAAAAAAAAAAATGACCGTGTCACCATTGTTATTTTCATGGCCTGTCATTATTGGGTCCCATGAATGGCTAAAAGCCCTAAAAAATGGTCTTACTGCTTGCAGCTTCCAGGTCTCATGGACCTCTTGAATTTCTTTTTTCATATAAATATATTTTATGCCTTCTCTATACTTTATGTGATCTGGAAAATCTAGGAATTGTTGGCCATCCAATATGTTAACACTCCCAAAATTCAGATCCTTAAGGGGCCCAATCCAGGAAAACGTTCTGTTCATATTATTTTCATGATAATGAAATATAGATATAGATCAGCTCTAATTTTAAATAAGGGCAGTATTTTTTTTATGCTTATTAGCTCTATCAACATAGGGTCACTCCAAGATCACTTATGGACAACTTGGTATTCTGTTACCAGATGTATATATGACTATATACTCAGACTGGGTATGCACACTAGCAAAGTATGAGAGACTGCTTGCCTGGTAAGCTGGAGAATACAGCTTCTAGATCCTTGCCCTAGCCAGAGGGGCCTGAACCCAGCTTTTACAGACAAACTTCCCAGTCTAGTGCTTTAACTTCCATGCCACAGGTTAGGTATTATAAAGGCTACCCTCTGACACTCCTTTTGAAGCTGAGCCACCTCCTCCTGCACTGGAAAAAATGAATGGAAGGCAGTATACAGTGGCAAGCTTCAGTTTCACTGGGCACATCCCCATGAGCACATACGTGCATTTCCTAAGGGACAAATAGCAGCAGCACATATAATAGCAGCAGGTAGGGTAGAGGAAGCTGGGACCAGCACCTGTGCTGTCCCCAGCAGCCTTACCTGGGGTCTTGGGGGTCTCCTGGGGCTACAACAACAGCGATCTGGGCATGTGGAGTCTGTCCAGTAGCCGGAGTGTGGCTCTGGCTGGTCAGGCTCCAGTTTCAGGTGGCGCACACTGCTGCTGTGTGCACTGCACCGGTTTTTTTTGGCACATTTTTTTTGGTATCTAAATTTGCCTCCACACTGCAATTGTGCAGCACAGCAAACAGATTAACATGTGCCATTTGCTTTTTGTGGTGCCTCAGAAGGCTTTGAGGTACCACAAACTGCATATTCCCATTTGTGGGGATTGGCCCCTGGGAGCAACGGCCCCAACTAGATGCAGGGCCCCTTCCTTAACAGGTCAGTGGTTACCTCACTTGGCTACCCACCTTCCAGGTTGTTCTTTCCTCCTGGCCTCACATATCCAGGAAGTCAGCATCTAAAAGAGTGCTAGAAGAGGGCCTAGGTAATGGTTGACCTGTGGGCCTGGTGGTTACAATACTATGCCATGCATTCAAAGCGACCAAATTCAAATCCTCTCTGCTTGATGGAGGCTGAAACGAAGTACTCTGGCTTCCCTATCCACTCAACTAATGCAGGGGAAAGATGGGAGATCTCACTAATCATGGACTTTGATCAATTATACTTTGGTGCAACTAAGGCTGCTATGCTTGCACAATGGCTGATGTACATCCCTGGTTCTGTATGCAGCCAACTGGCATGCCCAGTCTGCACATGTATGTAGTTGTCTGTGCATAGGATTACACATCCAGGAACAGAATTCCTACTTGCACATAAGTTCTGAAGGCATTGTGTATACACTGTTAAAAGCAACCCCTTAGATGTCCAGGGAAGGAATAAAATGTTAGCCACAGTGATTACAAAATTCTACTTGAGACTGAGATGTTATTGTGGTACATTGTGTGGAAACACCTAGTGAGAGACAGTCCGTACACTAAGGAGTTTATAAACTATGTTAAGAAAATACAAAAAAAATTACAAAAAAAAAAAATGGAGGCAGGGAAGTAGAGAGGAAATGGCCCAACAAGTTAAGAGCAGAGTGGGACTAAAAGCTGGGTCTCCTGAATACCAGTCCATTGGCCTGTCCAGTGAACTACAGTGAGTACAGCAGGCATAATGGCCCAGAATGAGACATCAGCTAGCTCCTATTCCTGCTTCTGCTAATGAAAAGGCTTATGTCCAGATAGAAAAATGATGGTGAATCCTGAAACTTTTTTTCGAAAATTCATTAAATCAATTTATTGCTGAGCATCCCAGAACTGTATCTCTTGTATTCTCCTGTAAGCTAATGGGATTCCATAGATACTTGCTTCAGCCTCCAAAGGTGCAGTCCTGGTTCTCTTGTTGTCCCTGTGAGCTTTTGCCACTTACTTCATTAGATCCTGGATTTAACCCCAGATTGTTTTTAGATGAAGGGTTTTCTAGGTTTCTTGAGTTCTCATGATGGGTTTGGAATAAATTTCCTTTGGAGTACCTTAATATTTAAACAAAATATTTTTGTTCTTTTCAATGAAGTTGTTTTGTATTATTCGAAATATATAACAGCGTGTTTTAAAATGTTTTGCAGATATGTGAAGCTGGAAATCATTTTATCAATGTAGCTTTAGCTCATCAAAATCACTCAGGTCTGTCCTTTTCTTTTCCTCACTGGCTGATTCAAACAGAATTGCATGTGACCTATCAATCTTTTCTGATATATAATAATTTAAGTGCCCATGACCAGAAAATAAAGAAAGATGAATGAGGTACCATGTTATCATTACAGGATCTTCTAAATAAATGTGGTGACAAAGAAATACTAGAAACACTGTTGCTTGCTGTTTCAAAGCATGTAGAAAATTTGTCTTAATTATAAAGGTACAACATTCAGCTATAGATTCAAGTGTTTTAAAATATCCCTTCGATTGACAATGAAAGATTTAGTTTTAATGATGTTTTAACAAGTACTAAAATAATTTGCATGTATATCTGTGCATGTGTTGTTAAAGCATTCTCCAAACCTCTTTCATAAGAACATTTTACCTGGGAATAGGGCTAATAGCTTCACCATTTTTCTACAAAGTAAAATCTATTCCTTCATCATCATATTTTCAATTGTATGTTCCCATTCCAGAAAACATTTATGTACATACTGAAATCAGTCTCTACTCAAGAAAGCACTTAGTCATATGCTTAAGATTAAACAGGTGCTTAAGTACTTTCCTGAATGGAGAACATGCTGTGCAGCAGAAGCAACCAACAAGCTTATTTATTTACAGACACAGCATCATTTATAAATATCATCACAGTGTGGACAGTGTTATTACCATTGTGAGAGCCTGCTGGGTTGCATTTTACAACTAGCAACATTATTACCATAGAACAAAAATATCAGGTTCTGCAATATGCCATTTCTTATTATTATTTTTAGTATCACCATAAGGCACTTTCTTTTTGAATATTGACTATTTTCCTGGAAAATTCTACCTGTATTTATATGCTAGGGGAATTGTTCTTTTAATAAGGCTAGGACTTTCAAATGGGGGCTAAGTTACTTAATCATCCAGTTTCTATTGACTTTCTGAAGCTCTCCCAAACATTGTTCTTCTTGGAAGGTCATCGATACATACCTGGCAGCCCTGTTCATCTTCATAATACCAATATTTGCAATGTGTCAGTTGTGGGGTTATATCCAATAGCAATTTCAGGTATTGGTCCTGCTGGTTCTTCCATGGAAGAGAGAAGTCCAGTGTTGGGAACATTCCTCTGTGTATGATTGAAATGAGTATTTGAAACTCATGCAACTCTGTGCCATAGGACTTGGGAGATGTTACACTTAAGGTGTGATTAAACAGTTAATGGAATCTTAAATAGTAACCTGATCACATGTTCAGTTGAGTAATGGCATGATAAAATGGGAAACAAGCCACAAAATTATTCCACAAAATGTGTAACAGTTTCATGGCTGTTTTCCATCACACCTTAAACTGAATTTATGTCAGGGTAGGCCCGCCAGGCAGCCTGATGCCAGCTGCATGACAGAGCTTGGTTGACAGCACCCTCTGTGCACACAGGCTGACAGTCATGCAGTGCATGTAGATGTATCCCACTGTTTTCTGGGTGCTGAGTCAGGGGTCCTCATCAGCTGGGTCTTGATGCTTCCCTGCCACAGGGAACCTGGGATGCAGAGAAGTTCCCTGATCCCCAATTTTACATGTGCCAGACCTTTAAAAACTCTAGATGCAGTGCAGGTGCTCACATGATTTTCTGACATGCCCAGCTCATGGGGATCAGGTGAGGTTTTATGACAACCCAGAGCCCAGGGCTCTGGAAGCCAGTTGGAGACTCCAGCATGGTCCCTGGGCCAAGACCAGCAATCAGTTGATCTGCCTTGGGATACTACTGGAGTCTTGAACTAACTCCATGGAGGTTCCAAGGTTGAGATTGACAATCAGTTTATTGCCATTCCCAGGCCTATGTCTCTGGTTTTCAACTTACTTGTGCAGGGGGAGCCTGGAATCCTGATCCTGAATCTATACTGGTAAGGAGTAATAGCCTGATTTGGATCTAATCCCTAATCCCAAAATTGCGCCTCCTGCCATACATAGCAGGTATGGCAAGAGGTGCAATTGTTGGGATTGGGGAACAGATCTCATTGCACCATTAAGTGAATGGGTGTCAGGGGCCTTGCAGGTGCTTTTTACCTGAGAATGTGAGTCTGTTGGAACCCTTGCTAAAGAGGTATAACTCTTTAGTTTATACTGTAGAGATCCATGCTATCAATCCCAGAGTAGAGCCAGGCAGAAAGTTTTTTTTTTCCACCACACAAACTCTTTTCTAGTCTGCCCTAGGATAAAAACAAGATTAAAAAATAAATAAACAAAAGGATAAAGACAATCCTGCCATTAGAACCAGGCAGCTAGACTGTGGGAGGCAGAGGATCACAACAGAGCTTCAAGTCTGGTCTGAATCAGGAAATGCAAGGTTTTACTCCTGTGTCTTCCATATAACGCGCTAACACCAAAGCTACCAGCTATGCTGGGTTGGACTGGTTCCGAGTCCCTGACCAGAACTTCAGTCCTGGTCATGAGAAGCCTTTTCTTTCAAAATGAGCACATGTTTCCAAGGAATTTTTTGGTCATTATGGGTGTGTCCAGATGAGTGCACATGTGCTTGTCCTAGGGAAGGTCCCGTGCACACACGCTCTGTTGCACAGCAAGTTTCAACAGCGGCAATCTGGCAACAGGGAGCCTGGCTGGCAGCTAGAATGTGGCTCTGGCTGTCCAGGCCCTGGTTTTAGGTCTGAGGGCTCTGGATCTACATGTGCGGTGTATGCAGTGTGTTGCTCTGCAGATGGGTCCGCAGTGCCGCATACTGCATGTGAGTGCTCATTTGGATGAGCCCTCAGTCTGTATTTTGTGAAAATAATTTTTTTTTCAGAAAAAATTGTGATCAGCCAGCTGCACTCTGGAGGTGTATTGTGGACCAGTTAAAATGGTGAATGCCATCACAATAAGGCTGTGTTATCCTATACGTCTTCCATAATAAAATTGTTTTGAGAAGTTTTTTTTTTCTTCTTCTTTCCAATAGGAAATAAATCCTATTTTCCAAGCCCAACCTACAACCCTTTCACGTGGCTGTTTGCATTGGTTTCCTGTCCCAACTACACATATGAGGTATGCGACTAACTTGTACGTGAATGTAAAGGATGGATTGGTCACATCCCCGGCTAGGATGCCATGTTTGAAACCTCACTCATAGCAAACTCTTCATATGTTGAGTGTACTCTGGACACTTCAGCTTGTTTCTCACAATCTTCTCCATAAATTCTCAAGCACCTCTGCCTTCATTGCATGCTGCACCTTGCCCATCCCTCATACTGAGCTACTCATCCCTTCTCTCCCATTCAGACTTTTTCCAGTGATTGTCATACACACTATGCTCTACCTTGCAGATGATTGTATCAATCCTACCTGAAGTATTGAAGAGCTACTTTTTAGCCAGCTACCCATTCCATTACAACTCCACTTCCAGTGCCATTACACTCTAGCCCTGTTACAGTTGGAGATATTGGGAGCTGAGCACTTTTGATAACCCTTTTCTTTATTCCCTCATAGCATTCATTTAACACTTCTTTCTTTGTAACAGATTGGGTCTTGGATTAGCTTCACAGTGATGACACAAACACTGCCAGGTAAGTTTAAAACAGTCATGGAAGTGAGTTAGATATGAACATTATTCATGTAGGTGAATTTTATAATGTCTGTTGTTTCCCCACATAATAGTATATGATTTATCATTCCTTTTCAATCACTCAAAAGTTAGACTCATAAATCTTTTTGACCTGCCTATCTGCATCTCAGACACCTAAATTACTCAATAAATCCAACCAAGACAACCTCCTCAAAGCATTTCTTCTTCCTCTATTTACTGGTACAGTTTGTTACAACAAAAAAGATCATGACTCTCTTCACTAATCAGCATCAGCACAATAAGCAAATGTTTCCAAACAGTCCTGATTTTTCTGATTCATTTTAAGTGTTCAGACTTTAGATGGCTGGTAGCAGGTATGTTACCAGTGTTCTTGTCTTTTTATTTTTTCCTCTGGCATGCTACCTTTTGAAAGGCTGAATTGTTCCATCAGAGCCTGAACACAATGAACATTTAAGTCCAAGGGGGAATCTTGAATCATTTCTATGGCCACAGTATCAGGCACTTAACACAAGAATGTTAGATTCCAACCATCCTTCCCAGAATGGAGCATATTAGTCCTGTTCATGAGGTTCTTGCTATATTTCATTGGTGAGAGCATACCTAACTTTAAAAATATGAGTACTTCCAGTGAGGTCCATGGGTTGCATTTTATTTTTTTCCTGAGCTCCTAAGCTGTTATTCTTTTGTTACTTGCATTTCTATAAGATGTCTATTCCTGCATGCGTACCCCTGCACATGTAAATGACTAAAGATGCACATTAGCAGCCATACCCCATACATGTGCTCTATGTATCTGCTATTCTTTTGTCTTGGTAGCTCACTGTAACAGGGGGCTTCCTCAGGGCCAGTCTACCAATGATCTTCCCACCTGTTTCTGGGCCAACCACCTGCCTCCTTACTTGCCACGCCTTGATGATAATGTTGTTAATTAGGTGGGAGGCTGCCCATTTCTTGCCCTGATGCCAGGGGCTGCTATCTGAGGCTCCATTCCTCCCCTGCTCTGCAGCCCAAGCCTCACAGATGGCATCCACAGTTCTTAACCTCACGGGCCCCACACTGGGCCCTAGAATCCTCCCCTATACGGACCCCAACTGGATCCCTCCAGTCAGGCGGTCTACTCCACCTTCATTTGGGACTGCATAGCTCCCTGAACTCTCTCTCCTGTAGGGTGTGGCCCCCACCCCAGGACCTTTGGCCACACAGGCCCTGGCCTCACCTGAAAGGCCCGTTAGAAACCCCAGGCCCTCAGCTCTGGACATCCCTCGCGGTGGGCCCCTGGACCTTTTAACTGTTCTGGTCCTGGCCACAGCATTGACCAGTTGAGGGTATTCTAAGTCAGGCTTCAGAGTCTATAGCCCACTCTCTAACCTGGATCCGCCTTCTTGGCTTACCATGGGGTAACCCACCTGGTTGTGGGAGCTGGGGTTATTTAGGTGCCCTGACCTGCCTTTCACCGGGGTGGTCACTGGCCTAGCATTTCCTGGGGGCTCCCGCACCACTGAGAGCCCCACCAGACCACCCACTGCCAGCAGAGTGCAGGTTTAGGTCATGCCCGAGACCAGGAGCCTCCAAACCATCCCCTTAAGCTCTTGTCCTTACCTCCAGGATGTTGCATGCAGTCCTGCAGCCAGGCGATGTTTTTTGCCAGTAGCAAACTTCTCTATTTATATAGGTGGCCAGATACCTAAAATGACCACCACAATCAAGCACCTGCTGGTGGTTGGCTCAGCCCTTAAAGTGGTAGGCACCAACAGTGCCGCCACACTCACAAACAGGATACTGAAGGCCATGGGTTTTAGACCCTCCCTTTAGCCATGGTGGATTTGAACCCCCCCCCCCCCGCCTTTTTTTTTTTTTGGCTTCCTAGCCTAGTACTCTAACCTACAAACCACACCATAGGTCAGGCATTGGTAATGATCTTTTTCAGAATTCCTTTTGAAGGTAAGCCACTAAGGAGTCCCTGGGGGAAAAAAATGGATGGAGGGTGGAAGCTTTTACCTCACTAGAACAACAGTTCCAACTAGAACCCAGTGCTGCCTCCCTTCAAAGTTAGTATTGTCTTCATGAAGGCACACACCTTCTGTTCCATACCTCCTGGCTTCACATAATGCCTCCATTTCTCCCTCTTGTCCAGCCATGTGGCTGGAGGTTGGAGCTCCCCCTAATGGCCACAGGGGCAGGTGGCAGGGCTGCAGGATCTTGTGACTAATTTTAGTGACAAATCTCTGCATGTGTAGACACCTGCCAAAAATCACTTAGGGTATTTATACACATACTTTTTTTGTCCCACAGCACTCTGGAGAACCTCCACTTCACAGCAAGCAAGCTGAGGCAAACTGCGCTGTGCCACGTGCAGTTGTATAAGCAGCAAAATGCATGTTAGTTCACAGAAAATGGTGGCAGTGCATACGTTTTAGGTCAAAAGCACACCACCACCCTTTTCTCAGTTATGACATACATTTTGCTGCTTAGACAACTGCATGCATCACAGTGCCAGATGCTTTTTGAAGTGCACTGTGGCACTTACATGTGTAAGAATGCCGTTAATGTGCATTAAATGCACGTGTAGCCGTGACCTGCATCTCTGATTAAAGTGCCTAAAGGGAAGGATTTAAGATTTGCACCTGCCTTTTGTGTCTTCCTTTTGGCTAACCCTAGGCAGATTCCTATCCAGCAAACTTGATACTGAGGAGGCCATTTTAAGAAGCCCAACTCTCCCCTTGTATTGTAAGTGGAGCCTGGCAACAAGCACAGTGTTCTGGATTCTACTCTGGTGGGCAGGCACTTGCAAGTTAAGCATTGCCATATGTGCAGTACATATTGCATGTGCACACACAAGCAACACAATGTGTTGTTTTTTTTTCCTTTGTAGTTGGTGTTTTTGCTTTCCTGATGGTCATCCAGATGGCTTTCTGGGCCCAGAAAAAACACAAGATGTACCTGAAGAAATGTAATACCTATACATACAGGAAAGCAGCCATGATTCCATTCATCCTCTAAGCTCTTTATGCATCAGAAGCCTATATGCACTGTTTGATATCTGACTCTGAGAGTAAATGAGCCATTTCCTTTAGTAAAGAGTTGTAAGACAAGAATGATTGGGTATTTTCTTCAGATAATTAACAGATGCAAATGGGGTGCTCTTAATTAAGTGAAAAGAATATGGCTCTGAATCCTTGCTTTGTATCAGAAGATATGATTTCATTAGATTTTGTGTAATGGAGCTCATTAGGAAGAGAATAGAAAATCCCTCTTGTTAATAGTGGGCCAAATCTTCAACTAGTTTAATTGGGCTTAGCTCTATTTAAAATCAGTGGAATATTGCTGATCTACTCTAGATAAGAATCTGGGGTTTTTAGGTTCATTGTCAAACATTGACCAGATTTTTAGTGTTGCATTGTTGATTCACAGCTTTTATTTTATTAAACACTGCACAAAAGCAGTGAGAGTTGTATAAATCCCTCTAAAAAGTATCATGGAGGAGTCTGGACTTATACAGCATTAATACATTTAGAATGGCTTTGCATTTTTCTTTGACTGAATCTATTACTGACAGAAAGTTGTACAATTCAAATGGGTTTAAATTGAGCACTATAGAGAAATCTGCCTTTTTTTTTAGGAGGCAGCCTACTAATTCAGGAAGGGAAACGGTTTCTATGAGATCTCAGTTTTGTTTCTTGCTTTGCTAATGATTTGCCATGGGGACTTGGAAAAGTACCTTAACTCAGATTGTAGACATCTATCATGGAGTTAGGGTGATACCAAGTATATTTTTCTCTCATGGAGTTAGGGTGATACCAAGTATATTTTGATATAGTTTTTGAAATGTAGATCCTATTCCAAGATGATTACTCTGTTCTTACCTTGCTGTTATGTCTAAAAGAAAAGTACTGGTCTTATTCAAATATCCGAAAATTCTATATAACATGATTTGCAAATTGGCTGCATCATTTGCACAAATAAACATATTTCTTAGCAGAAAGATTTGCTTGGATTGTAGTGCCATTTGACAACAAAAAGGGTTAGGGTTGCTTCCACACTCATTAGCACTCTAAACTCCATTTCTCCTTTAAGTACTTGTCTGCATGTATGTTCTGTGGTGGGTGCAGATGTGCCACAGGCATTTGAGCTTGGAGACACTTCCAGCCCGTATGGGCACATGAACTTTACCTTTTCTCCACATCTTCAATATGGACATAAACACTTCCTGTTCTTCAGTTCCTCTCATCTCCCTTGGCTTAAGATGGATACTCTACTGCTTGTTCCAGAATAGCCATTAGCCTAGCACCACCTTTTCAAAAACACTATTTTTAACCATTTTTGGTCTCTAGACCATTTTAATTTTTTTTTTTTTCAGGCATTGGTGTAAGATCACCCAATACAAGATTTTTCGCAGACAGAATCTCCTTTCAGGCTTGCTCCAAGTATCTGCCCAAGGTCATCATAGAATTTCACTTTTGTAAGCAACGCTGCTTGCTGATTTTTTTTCTCCAGATTTCACTTTCTTAGAAACCTCTCTACATATACTTGATGTGAGGTTATCTTTGTTCTTTCATCTGAACAGGACTAAGTCGTCCTGTAATTTCTATTTTTCTTTCTTTCCATAGCAAAAAATTAGAGACACAACAGTCTCCACTGAGGCTGCATCCAGAGAAGTCTAGCCATGTGGTATGTGGCGCTGCACATGACTGCAGGTGCCACATACTGAACATTCAGCTGTTCTCTGTGCTGCAAGGGAGCAGCATGGGTGTGTGACCCCTGGATATTCAGGGGTTAAAATAACCCATGCAAAAAAAAAAGTAGAGTGGCGGACGCCTCTCAAAACCAGAGCCTGGAGGGCCGAAGCCAAACTCCAGCTCCCAGTCAAGCTCTGAGTGGCACGATTGCCACTGCTACATCCCTGGGAGGCCCCTAGAACTCCAGGTAAGGCTGCTGGGGCTAGTCCAGTGTTGGCCCCAGCCTCCCCCTCCATCCCAGGTAACCTACTGCATGCCAAAGTGTGTGTGGCGTAGGCATTTTCCAGGGATAACTAGCAGCAGCACAAAGTGTGCTACTGTTAGTTGTCCCCAGAGAACCAAACGTCCACGCTCATGTGGGTGCGACCCCAGAGACTGCCTAACTGGCTCTTAGACTGTCAAGTTATGCTAAATGGCTGCTATGGTGGGCCTGCTGATAGTGATCAGAACTCATTCCACCAGAGCTCAATTGGCTTCTTTTGGGAACATCTCTATTCCAAACATCAGCAAAATGCCCCCTGGAGTTTAATGCACACCTTCATCACCACTACAGGAGAACTGTGTAACTTCAGAACAGCTGCAGGCCACAGCACCCCATCATTTTCATCATACAAGCCACAACAGCCCATCATTTCCATCCTACAGGCCACTCTGCCACATAGCTGTCTCCTCTGTTGGCTACACCTCTTTATCCATGGCATGAGGGAGTAAGAATATGAAAGCTAGAGGAAGGAAGGGAAGCCCAGAGATTCTGGCAGCCTGAGGAAAGAGGCTGTGAGAGCAGCTGGATCAGGTAATGGAGGGGGTTGGTGACAACTGGAAGAAATGATGTTTGAAACTGGAGGAAAGAGTAGAGCGCTGAGGATATAAGGGGGTGGCAGCCCATGGGCCCTTATTTAAACATTCATGGGTCATATGCAGCCCATAGGCCATCAGTTGGACAGCCCTTCTTTAGGCCATTGCAGAGGCTGGTAAAGTGGACACTACTTTTGGCAAAATAATACTTTCGTGACCTCTGTAGCTTGCATTCATGTGGATTGGGACACTGCCTTGAAGTTGCTCATAGTGAAATATGTATGTGGACAAGCACACAAAGACAAAATCAGGCTTAATAGCCTCCAGGTGTCTTAGAGATGTTTTATTTATATGCAACTTCCATATCCTGATCACCCCCATCTCCTGCTGCTTCTCCTTGAAGTCCCTGACACTGTGGGAATGTGCAGCTATGAGAAAACAGAGAAGGAGGAAGGACAAACTACCTTCCTGATCTCAGTGCATAGTATGTGGACAGCAAGTCCATGTGAATGGAATGGCTGGTATTGATTATGTAAAATGTTCTCAAAGCATGAGTGCAAGAGCTGCCTGTACACCCACAGTTCATGTGGGAATGTGCACATGAACAGTGCATTTTAAAGATCTTCAGTAACTGGTAAGTAACTCTTCTATCATGATTTAACTCTTCTATCATGAGTTACTAAGCCATAGCAACAAAGCAAGACAATTTGGGCTCTTACAGGAAACATTATCTTATACCACGGTGTCACGATCAAGTGCTCTAACAAAGTTAATTTATCCAATTAACCAGGTTCATATCCTTCCCCTAATGCCTATTCTAGAGTCTTGTAGTGTTTGTCCTATTAGCAACATTACCAGTGAGCTATGTGTGTTGACTGTAGAGCCTGCTATAAATAGGCAAGTGAAAGAGCAGCCAAGGCACATTGCATGTTTCAGCAATTTAGCTATGCTGGTAGGTAATGTAAAATATATAGCTGTAAAAATTTGGAAGGAATAACAGCAACTGAGCATAGTTAAGTGAACAGGCTACGGAAAAGAAGGAAATAGGTTTTGGCTGAGGAATTAATTTATGTACTGGCAAAATGGGAAGGCTCAAGGAATTTTTGGCTCTATCTGTATTTTGGTAGACTCATAAATTTCAGGATAAGCCCATATTGAAGAAGAGGAAAAGGGAGTGCTATAATTAGCCCATTAAGTTCATAAATAGGCATAGCAATTGCTACAGGCTGTTTGGTTTCCAAGTCATCTACAGAATCAGTAGTGGCATCATGTTTATTAACTAAAGCTGTATGTAAAGTATAATTTCTTTTAATTTTGGTAATGTAAATAAATATTTTCATGTGCTTTTTTTAAACCTGTGAATAATTAACACCTGGATTTTTTTTCATTGAGCTCAGTAGATACAATAGAGTCGCTCTGAGCAATAAATCAGCTAATATGATGTCCCACAATAAAGATATATTTTAGGATAAAATATTTGCTATGCATTTTTCTTGCTAACTTTTAATTGGATTCTCCTTAAAGTAACATTTTCCCTAAATAACATATGCATGCTGTGTTGGTAAAAATATCAGGGCATTTCCATTTTCCTTCTTTCAGTAGTTTCTTTTTAGTTGGAGAGTATATTTAATTATATGTTTATCTTGAGGTTGTTTTTTAAAAATTGTTATGGCACTTATCTTAAAACCTTTGATGTGGGTGAGCCTGCTTTAAATTTCACAACAATACTCATTTATCTGATCATCTCTTTATTAAAGAGAATAACATTGGTTACAAATTTAAGATTTTATTTTAAGAAATGTTTACAAACTATATTGACATCAACAAACATAGTTGCTCTTCATATGCATTTACCAGATATTTATGTAAAATGAGTGGTTCATGAATTATTCACTTTAGTTGCTTCTTAATTTCTGTGTGACTGATTATTCACCAGACTCAAATTGCATTTTCAGGCAAGCCACTAATGAATATTAGATAGCACCTAATAAAGCTTGCACTTCAAATACCCATTCTTAGAAGAGTAATTGTAAGTATTTTGTGCATTCATAGTCATAGTCATGTAGACCTGGAAGCCCATGCTATATGTAAGATCAATTATATGATCCCAACAATCTTTTTTGTATCATTTAACCAGTTGTAGTTCACACGGCAAAACTGATTTGTCCCATGTGACTTTTTTGTCAAAACACGAAGTATGGCTTTGTAGGTAAAATATATATTCAATTGATGTTTACCATAGTTGGTATTGGAGGGTATTGTGGGGCAGGGAAGGGAATATAATTTTGGTTTTGGAAGCCAAAAATATTACCAAAACTGAAAGTGAAAAAAACCCTAATTTTTGGTGATTTTCATTTTTATGCACGTATATCATTTTACCTAAATACTTCTCAACAAGTGGGAAGTGTTCATGAAATTAAAAAAAAATGCCCTGTAAATTATAATTGGCATTTTTGGATCAACTCTACACATGCTGGTGACACTTTCTCATGATGAAAATTTCTTCAGAAAAAAGAAAAAAAATCTCTTTGGCCCCTACAGGTCACTAGCCCTGAAATATGGGATTACTAAACTCTTCCCACACAGATGTCAAGTTTCTTTTCAGCCCCATTATGGGGATGTGACACACATGAAACCACGTATCACATGTATTATTTACTGCTCCAACAACATTGCTACTCTACCCTATTATACTATCCATTCCATAAACTTGGTGAAGTGCATTTTGAAGCAGTTCAGTTCCTTTTCCCTATTACTTTGTTGAGGAGAATATTCTAGCCCTCTACTCACCTGCTGGTTAGAAACCATTTTAATTTTCAGTCTAAATTTGTTCATGATCAAGTAGTAGCCACTTGATATTGTGCCAATGCTATTCTTTTACTTAGATAGCGCTTCCTATCCCTGATGTTCAGCCCAGCATATGTATGTGCATATTCATATGTATATATATATATATATATATATATATATGGTGTATATATATGTATGAACATATATATGTGTGTCTTTGTGCATGTGTATAAATGTGTGTGTGTATATATATGCACACACACACACATCTATCCCTCACACCTTCTGTGGAAAAAAAAAAATTCTAAAAGTTCTGAAAAAGAATTCAGAAGTAATTTCTTTTCAAAACAGTAGCTGCCTCTAATACCTCTAACAGCTTTGACAGCCCATACATTTCTCAAGCAAATTTTATATCTGGTTCATATTTCTCATTGTACCTGATCAAGCTTACAAAGTTTTGCCAATTGTACCCATCTTACATTGAGAGAATATTATATTGTCTACTTTGATGGTTCAGAATCTGGATCAGTTATGACTAAAATATTGAGTCACTTTTCAACTAAGATCTCTTGGTTCAGAATTTTCTGCCTTCCAGAAAGCCTACACTGCTCTGCATCACATACCAGTACTCAACACAGTGAACTGGAAACCAATAATTCTGTTTCTCACAAAAATGTCAGGGCTTCACATTGTTTTTAATACACAGACGTAACAGGTGGCTCCCATTTTCTCATGGATGACTGCGAACTGCTATGGGCTCATACAAGTACCTTGCCGTTCCTTTCTGTCTCTCTGGGCATGTCTACACAAGACATTTACTGTGGAATTGACTAATTATATCTACAGTAAACACCTTGCATCTACACATGCACCCATATTAGGCTGGAGTAAACTAATTAACTCTGCAGCAGGGTAGTACTTATAAATAGAAGTACTACCCTGCTGTGGAGCTTTTTATTCTAAAACAGCACATGTGTAGATGCTACCCTGCCTGCCTGCTGGCTAGCCCCACACTGAAGCATCCTCATGCCCCAGCCAGCCCTTCCATACCTTGTTGAGCTAAGGGCTGGTAGGCTAGCCCCCTGGAGCTCCCTGGGTCAATATGCTGTGGTCCTAGGCGCGCGTTCAAACAACGTGCCCAGGAGCAATAAACTCCAGAACAATAAACTCCAGAGATTAGTGATTCATATTAATTGCATGTGTAGATGTGCCCTCTTTCTCTCTTTTTGTTGCCAGTGTACATGCTCAGTGTGTGCATAGCTATGCAGCGGTCCACATATGCAGGATTATACATCCCCGAATAGAATTCCTCTGGGTGTGTGCCAAAAACGCCGTGTAGACAACCAAAAGATGACTTCTTAGAATGACCAGAAAGGGAATAGTTTGCAACCAATAATGCTAGAAAGAACCTTTTTGGTCATGAAGTGCCCTCCCCTGCTATTTCAGACTCTCTTTCTGATGTGGAAGAGAGTGATGTTATATGATATTTGAATAAACTGTAACCAACCTTTATGTCTCTAATTTTGCAAACCTGAGTCAAGGTGTGCCCCAGTAAATGGCTTCCAGTTGCCTTATTAGCTGACTGTACTTGAATAGTAACTACATCCCTCCACAGCGAAAATATAACCCCAAAGGGAACAGAAAGTAGGATAGGTGAGTAAAAGTAGATCTCCATCCTTTTTACAGCTGCTATTATCATCAGCATATTCTGTGCTTTACATTGTTGTGTATAAAGGAAGTGATTCTAAATTGGCTTTTATCACCTTAGGAACTGAAATGAAACTATCTGATATCAAAGTAGTTCCCTGAAAGAGAGCCTGCATTGATGGAAGTGTAATAAAATAAAAATCACTGAATGTGAAGACTTCTGAATCAAGACACAAGTGGTAGAAAACTACAGGAAACTAGGAGACCATTTATCTATTTATAGTTATAACAAGTACTGTTCAAGTCAAAGATAATTCAAACTGTAAACAGCTTTCCAATAATTTAATACTTCTTGTACCATGCCTTCTTTGCAGATAGTTTCCGTATTTTGTCTTTAATTGCTGTTCCCTATTATTAGCAATCATTAGAGGTTTTAGAGGAATAGACACTATGCTTATTCAAGGATTGAACTGAAATGAAGTGAAATTGTTATGACTGCAAAAAAATAGATCTTTTCTCCATTTTATGTTATTATGTAAAGTGTTGCATTTGATCTTGTATAGCAAAGATGGGCGCGTCCACACATACAGACCTGTGCACTTGCAGCAGCTCAAATAGAAGTGTTGCAAATATTAGCCAGCCCTTTTTGGCTCAGAGCACATGCCCAGACATGCACTTTGGTGTGGGGCAAATTGTGGCACTTGGGGCAAAATAACCCTGCCTGTCTCCTCCCAGATCTGCAGCCAGGGGGAGCTAGAGCCTGGGGCCAGCACCTGTGCTGGCCCCAGCAGTATAAAAAGTGGCCCTTTGCTGGCCCCAGCAGTATAGAACCCTTCCCTGTGCTGGCCCCAGCTATATAAAAACTTGCCCTAGCAAGCAGCTCAGGGCTACTTGCCTTCAGGAGCTTCTGGGGTGGAGCTGTCACCACAGGCATGTATGTGGCAAGCTTTACAGACACCCCGGGCTCTTGCCCCTTCTGTGGACAGAGGGAGACACTGGCACACATGACCCTTGAGTGTGCCAGGCTGCAGCCCCTCCACCTCCACCTACAGAACCCCCTTCCGAGGTTCTGGTTAAATTTCACCCCCCACCTTTTTGTTTTTGGTCACCCCATCCATGGCCCCACCAAGTCCTGGGACTTCCTGGTCAACCTCCTCCTGGCCCTGGCCAAGTGGGCCCTGTACTTGACCAGGAAGGTGCCCAGAAACTGTGGGGTGGCTTTCCTCTCACTTGTCCATTCATGTTTCTGGGAAGAGCACCAGGGGGCAGCATCCACCAGCTCCTTGGATGCCTTTGAGGACCAGTGGGTGCAGCTTGTGGGGCTTTGCTCCGTGTCCCCCTCAGGCACTTATTTTCATGTTTTGACCCTTTGACCCACACAACACTCCTCTTTTTTTCATTAATTGTCACAAGTATTTTGTTGTAAAATTCACCCACTAGCCCCCATACAATGGCGGCTACTTTTAGCCAGGTGGGCCTTAGGGCCCACACTATTTTGAATTTTACAAATAGACAGGAGCTTCTGGGATGGGGCCATCACCATGGGCATGTATATGGCAAGCTTCACAGACACCCCAGTCCCCTGCCCCTTCTGCGGGCAGAGGGAGACCCTTGCTAGTCCAGCTTTGCACCAGAGCAGGATGTGTAGCTCCAGGAGGCACAGCTCTTCTGCAGATACACACCAGCTGTGTGGCCTCGGCCAGATCTGGGTGCAGCAGGCAAGCAAGACTGTGTGTGGCTGTGGCTGTGTTACAGGAACAGAGGACAGTGACATGGCACTGTGTGACCCAGACTCCATAGATACTGAATGGACCCAGCCCAGCCCATCCATGGCCATGCACTAGCAAGCTAGGTCCATCCACCCACCCACTGGGACATCCCCCCTGCCACTCCCATACCCCCTTACATCCCCCTTCACTCCCCATAGTCCCTGACATCCCCCTCCCTCCACTCTCCGACATCCCCCCACCACTCCCCATAGCCCCAACATCCCCCTCCACTCCCAACACCCTCTAACATCCCCCTGCCACTCCTTGCACCAACCCATGCCCACCCACACCCATAAACCACCCCTACCCCACATCTTTAACTTACCCTTGACAGTGCCGGGGGCATCAGGAGCACCACAGAGGTGCTCTCTCCTGGAGGACCAACTCCCAGGTTGCCTCCAGGCATGGTCTGGGACCGTGCCTTGTCCTGCTGTTCTGTGGAGTGTTTTTTTTTTTTGACCCCTGGATATCCAGGGGTCTAATTTTGCCCCCACACTGCAAACTTGCAGCATGGGGAATTTTTTTGTTCCCGCATGTGACTCTTGCAATGTCTCAAAGGGCTTTGAAGTGCTATAAGATGCACGTGCACACGGTGATCTAGGCTGGCGATCCAAGCTGACCTTGTAGGTTTAGAAAGTGGGTGGATAAAACATGATGACATTCAATACAGAAAAATGCAAGGTACACCACCTTGGGGAAAAAATTCCACAACACGCTTATAGGCTTGGCAGTGCTATGCTCATTAGCACCATGGCTGAATGGGAATTGGGGGTCCAACAGCTGGAATAGACTCCCTCCAGAGGTGGTGCAAGCACCTCCTCTGGACTCTTAAGAAATGTTTGGACACTTATCTTGCTAGGATCCTTTGATCCTTTGATCCTAGCTGACTTCCTGCCCCTGGGACAGAGGGCTGGATTCAGTGATCTTCCAAGGTCCCTTCCAGTCCTAATGTCTATGAAATCTATGAAATTATAAAAGAACATATTTTATTTAAATACAAATAAAGTCACACTTCACATATGTGTTTAAAGAATCTGGTTGTTACTTAGCTTCTTTCTAAATACTGAATATTTTAATGACAAAAACATCTGTTGTCAGCTATTCCTGTTTTTTGTTCCCAATATCATATCATTCAATGAAGACAGAACAGCTTTTGTTTCAAAATTATAGCTTTAACCATCTCTGGACACATTTAAACCATTATAAGACAGGCTGTGATGGAAATAAGCTACATTATAATGTTGTTTCTTTCTTCCTCACATTGATATAATTGAAATGCTGATGCATTTTCAGTTGTCTTGAGTATTGTATCTATGAAACACAATAAAGCAAATTAAAAAAAAAAATTGCCAGGAAAAAATAACTTTTTTTTTCTTTGAAAATGAAATAATTTGTTAGGTACAAGGGCATGCCCATAAGAGAAAGCACTGATTGGAGAATTTGAAAAACCAGAATGTGGTTACAATGTGCTTTTAGAGATTACTAGCTATGTCTTTTTGGAAATACATTTCACTCTTTCTGACAACTGAGCTTGACAGAAATGGATTAAAGATGACACATCTTCAATATTGTATCTAATGAAAAACAAAGTAGTGTTCTTAGCTAACGGGGAATGTTTGTCACATACAAGAACTTTGTATTCTTCCACTCACTGGTATACATCTTATCTTTTCAACATATCTGATGTGTTTGGGGGACTTCTAAAGTTATAATCCCTGTAACTCATCTTCTATGACCATTACACATGCCTTAAAGTTTCAGACAATACCCACTGAAATCTAAATATTTTCAGTCTTTCTATTGACTCCCATTTACTTTATTATGCTGTAGCAATGGAGAAACTGTGAATATACTTCAATGACTACATTGTCATTGCATTACCAAAATCTAATCACTATGCAATCATTAATGGATTTTCAGCTTCACTATACTCCTTTGAAACAAGCAGGTATTACCCCTGTTTTACAGACAAAGAAGTAACATTAAGTCAGCACACTAGGGTAATGGAACAACCTTCCTGTGGATAATATAGAATCTTCTTCCCTGGATGTTTGCAAGAAGAGGCTGGGCAGGCCCTTCTCTGGGATTGTATTTGTGCAGGGAGTTGAAGTACAGGAACTCTGAAGTGCCTTCCAAATCTATGGGCACCTACACATGAGCACGGAGGCTGCTCCAATGTGTTAGAATTCCAGCAAGTTGGAGCAGACTCAAGTAATTGAGTTTGCTACAGCATGGCAATTACTGTGTTCCAGCAGTCTCCTGAGTCTCATGTATCAGTGTCCCTGCACTTAAAAATGGCAGTGGGGCACTTGAACTAAAGCTTATCAAACAAGCTTTAGTTCAAGCATCCTCACAGCAATTTTTAAAAGTGGGGATGGTGATGCACAAGATGGGGAGGCGCTTTAATTAGACCTGCTCTTAGAGCCACTCTAATTAAAGCGCCATGCCCTCCATCCCCGGAGCATGTGTAAAAGTGCCCTATGAATTTAAATGACTTACCAAAGGTCACCCTGGTAGTCATTTGCACAGAAAAATAAATTTAAGTTTACTGAATTGCAGACCAGTGCCCTATTGATTACATATTCCTGCTTTCACAAGAAAAAAATTAATCTCTCTCTCTCCCCTCTTTTAGTCTCATGCTTTTATTCTTTGCTCTCTAAATCTGAAGGCATTTGAAAAGATTTCTTTGGTCCAGAACATTAGCATAGGATAATTTTTTTATCTCTGCTTGACAAGTTTTAAATATAATTTTATTCTTATACCTTAACTCTGAAACAAGATAAACCAGAAGATATGCACAGTCTTTCATTTATTTGGATAGTCTCAAAGATGAAATACCCTATTTTCTTGAAAACAACATACCTCCAATAAGAAATAAAACTTGCTTCTGAGAAGTCAGAATGGAGAACAAAAGATGTTTCCAATTATGGCTGTATAGACTGGGGTTAGAGCCTAATCTTCAGTTCATTCACCCTCCCTTCCCTGCTTAACCAAAGTCTGAAACCCTGGTTGCTGCTGAAGACTGGTTCCCATGGGAGGATCAATGATTTTGAAAAGATCTAAACCAGTCTTCAAGTCTGTGAAAGGGAAGAGAGACCAGGAGTAGATAGCAGACAGAAAAAAAAAAATATTGAAAGAATGGTTAACTTAATTAGTGGAATACTGAGACCATTAAAAAGGAAAGACAATTGTTAACACCTTTTGAATGAAGAACAATGACCTGTTAAGTCAACTGAGTCCTTCAGCTGTCTGAATATAATTGCTACTAATGCTGCCAGATGGAGCAGGAATCAAAGCAGGGTGCTTTTATTTTGGGCAGAAAAAATAGCTTCCCTGCTTAAGACATTCACAATTATGGGGGAGGGGGGTATGGTATGTGGGTAAAAATAGTCAAATTGGATTATTTTAGACTGTGTAAAAGGCTGTCTGAAAAGTTGATGCTAGGATACAAAAAAAGGTTAATTAAAATCTAACGCCTAAATGTGGACTATAGACCAGTAATTCCCTTTGCAAGTTATATTTAGAGTATTCAGTTCAGAGTGGTCTCTCACTACGGTGTGGATGGAAGATCACTTTGCACCCATTGTGTGCAAATATATGATAACGATATTGAATATAGAATAAAGCAGCCTCCCACTCATGTATGCAAATTACATTTTGTTTTAATAGGGCCAGTTTGAATGAACAGGTTTTGAATAGCAGGGCCGTGCTGCTCATGTCTGCATCTTGTAATCTGTAACAGATCAAAGGTACTATCAAGCTTCT